GTGAGTTTTGCCTTATTGTACAACTTTCCTTGCCACATTTGTTAAGTGAATCACTTTAGTTGTTAAATTAGTAACGTGGTTAAGCTTCTCCATTGACTTTGTTTGCCAGAAGGTTGCAAAAAAGCATCACATGACCCTGAGAAATTGCAGCCATCATAAATATGAACCATTGATCAAGCAGCCATATGTAAATCACGTGACCAGGGGGATGCTGCAATGGTCATAAGTGTGAAAAATGATCATAAGTTCCTTTTTTCAGTGCCGTTTCAACTTCAAATGCAGAGGTGGTATTCAGCAGGTTCTGACCAGTTCTGGAGAACCAGTAGTGGAAATTTTGAGTAGTTCGGAGAACCAGCAAATACCACCTCTGACTGGCCCCGCCCCCATCTAGTCTCTGCCTCCCATTGTGTCCCAGATGATCAGCTGGGTCTTCTTTGGTTGCCCTGCACAGGAGAACGGAGCTGGAAAGCAGGTTAGTGGGTTGGGGAGGGAATGGAGATTTTGCAGTATCCTTCCCCTGCCACGCCCACCAAACCACACCACGCCCACCAAGCCACACCCACAGAATCGGTAGTAATATTTTTTGAATCCCACCACTGTTCTAATAGTCACTAAATGTGCTGTTCTAAGTCAAGGATAATCTGTAGTTAACCAGGTTTCCTATTTAAAATAATAAGGCTAAGTTTATGCAGTAGGCCAAACCATGGTTAGCATGATCATGATTTGCTGAATAAACTACAACGGAACTGAGTTCACACTTGCTAAAGCAAACTAAGCACACTTCTTATAGCTTTGTGTGATTTTTTTTCAAACAGGAGTCTACAACGAAGGGTTTTTCAGCTTTTTCAGGCCACAGAACTCGATAGTTGAAAAATAAATCCATAAAATCCAGATCAAGAGGAAAGTTCTAGTGATAGGAAACCCGGCTTCATTTTTCTTCATTAGTCTTTCATGGAACCACATCACATTCACAAGGGAACTCAGTTTGGAAAGCTCTGGCATATAATTCTAGATTTTTACATCTGAAAAGCCAAGTCTCAAAGAAGCTACCTTCATGAGAAGTCGTGAATAGAAGGCCTTGAGTGTGCAGAAAAAGAAAAAAGGACAGGCTTCGATTGTGTGCTTGTGTCTGGCATCTTGGCTATTTTGAACAACCACCTCCTTGCAGATACCTCTCCCCCACCCCCCACCCCGGAAATCGGTTAAATCCACATCCCCAAACTCCAATAAGAAACCATGAAAAACTATCCCTTTGCTCTGCCAACAATCTTGATCAAAAATCAAGAAGGCTGCCGTGGGGGTGGTGGTTTGTGATAGGAGGGCTGTGGAAGAGCAAGGCCTGCTGTGAGAAGGGAGTGATGCGAAATATCAAGGACTACGACACATATGGGAAAACCAAGATTTTCTGGGGTTGCCTTGGGATTTTGGTGGAAGGTTGGATTCTTTAAAAACACATCTCATCTACTTTAAGACCTATACTTGGTTTTGGTGTATGTTTTTAAATGCCTAACCCCCGGATGGTGGTAAATGATGTTTTCTAATTTTGATATTTGTGGACTGGTGTTGGAAAACCACAAACCAGGAGTTTGAAATTGCTTGAAATCCTGGGGCCTCACGGGGTCCAACCCAGCTCTAGATAGGCCAAAAGCCTGACTCAGAAGACTGCAACTTCCTCTCTGGGTGGGAAACGATGCGATCAGGGATGTATATATCTTTGTCTGCTTACATATAAGATGCTTGTAAATAGGCACACTCACAAGCCCACAATCACAAGTACCAACAGAAGATAAGTCATGATGGGCTGTGGCTTCTCCCTGCCTCGCAAGCCAATTACCTCAGAAAAATGAATGTTTATGCGAGTTAGCAGAGATGGCTAAATTGAACTGCTTTAATTAAAGAAATGAATACAATTAAGTGTTGCTGCTTGGAAACTGCTTTTGGACTTTGTGGTGGGGAAAAAAAAGAAACTTTGACTTAGGGTTTGCTGATGGGATTGGTTTGTCGTTATAGGAATGGCTAGTATATATTATGTAAACGTAAAAAGCCAATGCTTTCCTTTTTCTAACCCTTACATATTTTCTCCTTCCCCTTTTCCTTCCCTATTTCCCCATTATTTTTTTTCATTTTTTCTTTGTATTTTTGTATTTGATGCTTTGATAAACTAATAAAAATACTTGAGTCAAGACAATAAAAAAAAAATAAGTAAATGCCTTGTATGCTTGTGATTATTGAAATGCTAATAACGTTTTAGTGCCTGTGCGGGTGGCTGGTTGATATGCAGAGAATGATGAAGATCAGGCTCACCTAACAAGAGCTGAAATATTGCTTATTCCAGCTCCTTGAGGGAAAAGCAGAAATTCATGCAGGAATGATTCCGGTTCCAGAAAGAGGTTCCTGCCTTCTGCACATGGGAATTAGTGCTGTAATATTGCTTAGGAGTTCAAGGTTTCAAAGCTAATAAAAACAGGAAGAAATCCCAAAAGTAGGGTGGGTGGGTGGAGGGACAGAAATAGAGGAGACAGGAAGGAGGGAGGCTGGTACATAGCTTATGGACTTTGGGAACATTTAAAAAATTATCTCTAACTCTTTACCAGCAGACTGTGTTGAGATTGGACCTCACACAGTCCTGCAACAGATTTCTTGAGGTTGGAAATGGACAGGTGACAAGGTGACCATTAAAAAAATGCCTTTTTGGTGATTTGGGACACAGTGTATCTTTCCTATAGAGGTACAGCATGGAAGTCTTTACCAGACCAACCAGTGTTTCCTTGGAAAAAAGAATTCTAGGACAGGCTTTTCCAATGTTTGGGGCTTGAGTCAACCTGAAACTCCATGAATGGGTTGATGAACCGAAGAGTTTAGGTCCTGCTTTAAGCGGGTTGGTTTTATTTATGTGGTAGACATCAGTCAATGCAGGAATATGCATAAAGTCTGGTGCTCCTTGAGCAGAGTTTGACTTCTAGTGACATAAGTAACACATCTAGGTAGTGTTTCTTAGTAGCCATACAGAAGTGATTTGCCACTGCCTTCGCAGTTCAATCTATACTATGGGTGTCAGGCTTGCGGTGGCACATTGCCATCATGTGACACTTTACTGTGTTATTCCCCTTCACAGAGCTGGGGTGGGTGTGATCTGCGCATGATGCATCTGGCCCATAGGCCACCAGTTTGACACCCCTCATCTACACCAGTGGTGGGATTCAAATTTTTTTACTTCTGTGGGTTCTGTGGGAGTGGCAGGGGAAGGATACTGTAAAATCTCCAGTCAGAAGTGGTATTTGCCGGTTCTCCGAACTACTCAAAATTTCCGCTACTGGTTCTCCAGAACTGGCCAGAACCTGCTGAATACCACCTCTGATTGATGGTCTCCCAATTTTCCAAGTGTTCTTCCAAGTGCCACAGTAACAAAAATATTTTTTAAGAACAAAACCACAAGATTGCCACTTATTTAATAATATATATTTAATATATAATTTCTAGATCAGTACATTCAGTTTAATGTGTTTTTCTTCACAAACAGAAGAACTCTTACAATAGTAAATTTCTAAAATAAATACTATTAAAATAGAACTTCGAAATAAATATTCTATACAAAGGAAAACTTCTGTGGTAATTTTTTTCAGTCGAGGAAAGAAGTAAAGAGGGAAAACCTGGACTGCTCTCTGTAAAGATTAATAAAAAATAATCTAACCATGCACAGAGCTCAGGACAGCAACTTGAAAAAGCAGCTATTTTACTTTGCTAAAGCAACAAGAGACAGAAATAGCAAGTGCTGTGCCACTGTGTGCCCACTTTCTGTCTCCTTGCTTTGTAGAGAATTATGCTGCCGGGCATGTCTTGGAAGAAATAATGTTTGCTCAGAACAAGGGATGGAACTACATCCCTTACTTGGTGTGCATTCTTCTTGTTTGTCCTGTTGAAAGGTGAAGGTGCTACCCATCTGAGGGGAGGAGCCTTCAGGAATCACCCAGGGAAAGTAGGGGAGGAAGATCAAGGAGAAGACACCTTTAGCATCTTCCACCCCTGGCCATTCAGAAACTGGTAGCCAGCTGTCAGGAAGGCCACAGGTTCCATACTTTTCCCATGGGTTTAATCTATGTCGATTGCACTTTTGATGCTCCTGAACAATTTCTTTGTGAACCAGAATCCAGCCTGACCAGCCGGGGGAGAGTGTAAGGAAATTCTCTGGATCAGCCAATCAGATCTTAGTTTCACATAGTTACAGCGGTTCTGACTTTATAACCCTTGAGAGACTGAGGTGGTCAGAAGAGTGCAAGAGGAAAAGAGGATCGGCTGCAGAACGGAAAGGGCAAAGGGTTGTGGGGATCAGGAGAGGAACTTTTCAGGCAGAGCGTTCAAGAAGACCATCTCAAAGGAATAGCATGAAGCAATTCAGGGTCTTCTTGGGCTGGACTAACCCAGAAAGTTTTCAATGCTCGGCAAGAATGTTGTCAGTGGTGTTGCTAGGTCTCGAGCAAAGAGCTGTAGAAACATGCGGACTGACTGCTCGACAAGAGGGCTAGGCAGAAGGAGGGGGAAGCTGTGGAGGCTGGCAGCTGAATTCTGCTTGCATTTTCAGAGTCTCCCTTTCCATGGTCTTTTTTTCCCCACATAATCCATCTCCAGTATGTTGATACCGATAGGTTAAAAAACAAGCTTCAAAAACCCACACAGTAATTTTAAGTGGTTTTCAACTGTGTACAGTAACAATAAAAGCCCCAAGTTTTCTTTCTTTAAAAAAAAAGTCTCAGAAATAATGTAAAAAGTCAAAATGTGGATCCACCAGTCTGGATGTTCTGCTTCTTTGTCTGACTTAAGAGCAGTGGTAGGATTCTTTTTTTTTTTTACTACCGGTTCTGTGGGGATGGCTTGGTGGGTGTGGCAGGGAAAGGATGCTGTAAAATCTCCTCGGAGGTGATATTTGCCTGTTTTCTGAACTACTCAAAATTTGCACTACCAGTTCTCCAGAACTGGACAGAACCTGCTGAATACCCCCTCTGCTTAAGAGTGTTAGAATTTACTTTTAAAAAAAAGAAAGATATTGCTTGATCAGTACTGCTGCACACGAATAGGAACAAAAAAGACAACCAAACAGCATTTTCACCTCCAGATGTTTTACATATTGTTTCCCTTGCTGTCAGGCTATGGAGATAAACTTTTATTCAATTCAGAGGATACTACTTTGAGGAATGCCGTAACAAAGCATTTATAGTTGGATAGCGCTACTTCATTACCATGAATGTTGATAGGGATGAATTCATTCAACAATATGTTGGCTAAGGTTCTTATTTTTTTCTCCCCTCACTCTGCCCCCACCCCCGTGCCCTGTGATTCTCTCAAGTATTTGTAAGAACATCCATAACACACGTTGAGCAGAATCCAGCAGGAACTTGTAATCTCCATTGAAATGAATGGAAGAAGAAAATGCTTGAAGATTTCTCCCCTCCATTCATTTCAATGGACAAAGGTTTCCACCCAGCGTCTCCTTGCTAAGGCTAATCTCAGACATCCAGGACTCATAGAACAAATTCTTTTTCCTATAAAATAGAAGAATGCGAACATATAAAAATATTAAAAATAATTTCCAGCCAAATCTATCTTTCTAAACAAATCCTCCCATCATGAAAAAAGTCAGCATATTGTTCTACCTGCTTATCCCTAAAATAATAATAAAATTGGCCTCCTTTCTCTCTACAAAGTTGATTAATTTTGAATAAAGAAATCCTTCTCAGTTGAAAAGGTACCATGGATTTTTCTTTTCAAATTAAAGAGAGAAATACTCTTCACTTTCATGGACCAGCTTTTTACATGCCTGTCTTTTCCATTTGTTGTGTAGTGTCAGTGACTTCCTATTTAGCATCTTGTAATAAAGTTAATCCACTGGCCTTGAGCAGGGATCCTTCCCACCTAAAAGGCATTTTAACAGCCTTTGTTGATGTCAAGTACAGAGATTAACCTTCCCAACCTTCAGCCCTTCAAATATATTCCACTCCCGTTTTCTCTATGTCTCCCAGTCAGCACTGGAGCCACAGAACTTGTCATCCAACCTACCCAGGGGGCACCAATTTCAGGAAGTTTGATGTTGATAGATGATATCTGGAAAGGGGTAGCTGATAAAAACTGTAGGCACTTTGTCAGAAATATGCCCCTCAAGCTTACTTTTCCATCCACACAACACTTTAAAAAAATGTTAGCAAGCCTCCTGTAAGAACAGCGGCATGTTACTTTATAGAAAAAGAATCAAGCAGCAACTGTCCCATTTGAGAAATAAAATAGTGAGTGCATGCTGGTTTTGTCAAAACAATTCCATTTCGAAGAGAGTTTGGGATTGTGCTGACCCGCTTCTAACTGTCCCAAGATACTCAGCTATATTGTGCTTGGTTTGGATTAATCCTCCAGATGCAGAGCAGAGGCTAATTCTTAAGCTTCAGTTCAAGCATCTCTATCATCTGATTTAATAAAGTATAATTTATATCAGGAGAATTGAACTGCTTATATTGATCCTGAAAGTACTGTGGAGATTACTTCCCTTGAAACTTATGCTCAGTTTTCCTTCTTCTTTTGCGTAGCAGGATCTTATTTGTGCAATAAAAATGTGCAATAATGATCAAGCAATATAATGATTATTTCAAACGTATGCTCAGAATTTTCTGGGTCTGAAATGCAAACAGGGGCTTAAAGTCCCAGAAACTCTTTCGGTTGGGCACTCCAAGTTGGGTCATAGTTTTCAAACTTGTTCCAGCGCTGAAACATCAAAATTTTGCCTTATATTACCATTTGCCCCTACATGACCTGAATGGATGGAGTTCAGGCTGGTGGCTGCTGGTTTGAATTCTTTGTGGAACTTGTAAAAGGGAATGAATTCCTCCTCCCCACCATTTCTGTTACAAGAGATCAAGAAACACTTAATAAGGAAGTAATCCATCAATTAGAATATATTCATGGTGGTGATCATTCTAAAAAGAACAGGGGGGGGGAGGGAGGGAGAGAGGGAGGGAAAGATGATGATCTTGGGAAAAGAATTTGGATATTTGCTCGTTATTCAGACTTTCAAGACGGTGCCTTAATGGCAGTAGAATCAACATGAGTTAAAGGTAGAGCTAATCCAGGTGTTAAGCTCACCCAGGGTATTTAAACCTCTACAGGGAGGGCACAGAATGCCCTGTTCTTGAATCTACCCCTCTGATCAGTCCTGAACCCTCTATTCAAGTTTGAATACTCTGTGGAAGCTTAATACCTGAGAAGAGCTACTGATTTCTACATATTCAGAAAGATTATTTTTAAAAGGAGTACTCTCACAACGTACAGACACAACGATGACAACAACAAAACCAGGCGGTAAGGAACATTCTTGTTAAAGCCTTGAGGGAAACTTAGCCCTTACTGCCCATAACCTATAAATATGTGAATTGGATGGTGGCCCTGAACTGAAGTCCTGCTTCCATCTGCTGATGTACATGCCAAGCCTACTTCTGGATTATTCTTGCAATCTCTAGATGGATCAAACTGCCAGGACTAAGGATTAGGAAAGGAGATGTCTTTAAATAGCTCTATGTTTTTCTGTTTTGGCCCTTGCACTGCAAAATATCCATATCTATTTCCTTCCTTCCTTCCTTCCTTCCTTCCTTCCTTCCTTCCTTCCTTCCTTGCAAAAGGCTGACATATGTTATACTTTGACATAGGTGACAAAACACCCTTCGTGTTTTCTTTTCCCATCCTGCACTTCCCAACATCTCCCCAGCAGTCAAAAAGTTTTCTCCAGTCTGCTGTCAGCCTTCCCATCCGGGGACGCTTTACAAATCACGCTGTTTGTGTTTTTGCACCGGCATCCAGGCCGACTCACTCGGTCATAGCATCGCTGTGATAGCTTCACGCAGCCGGTGGCTGGCAGGTAGCACAGCAAGCAAGGGAAGACCAGGGAGAGGGCGCTCATGAAGGACCAACGGGCACAGCAGTTTGAGTGGGAGCAAGAGCAGGGGTGGTCTGCGCAGGAGCCCTCGTCATCCTCGTTGGTGCAGTGGTAGAATATGCCCTTCACCAAGCACATGCAGGTGGAGTAATTGACCAGGTTCTGGGCTGAGCACAGACATTCCTGATTGCACACCCAACACGACGGCAGAGTCCTAGGCAGGGCACATTCCTTACACTTGCATTTTCCACAGGCTTCACACAGCAAAAAGTGCTTGTCCAGTTTCAGAGGCGGGAGTCCTTTCAGATCCAAGGGCTTGCAGTGAACTGCCTTGGGCTGAAGCCGAACTGCTCTGGGGGAGGAGGACTGGTCAGCCACAGGAGCCGGGACCATGTGGTCCAAAAGCCTTTGATCTGAGGATGTGCTGCTGCTGCTGCTGATGGAGCTGGGCCGCCCACTGAAGGAGATCCATGGGTGGGTGACATCTTGTTCACACCGGGGTGGAAGGGTGGGCTCGTGGTGGCTCCGGGGAGGCTTCTGAGCAACCAGTTGAGCCAGCGTGGGGTTGTCAATGTAGTCGTTCTCCATATGTGTGGTCTTCATCTGGTCGATAGGCAGGATAGTCAAGGGATGTTGTAATCTGCCATAAGGGATCCGGCTCTCCAGAAGAGGCTGTACCATGGTAGAACTGGGGGTCACAGTCATGTTGTGAGGCATTCGAGGCTCCATTTCTCTTTTCAGGCTGCTTTTAAGTGTCCTGAAAAAAAGGAGAATAAAGAGAAAAGAGGCTGAGATATTATCCATTGCTGTCAAGAGTTCCAACAAAGAACTGAGCTGTTCCTCTGCCAGGGTTGTCCCAGGGTCAATCTTGGCAGTTTACAGGTTAATAACTCTTTGGAGTGTTGTCCGTCCCATAGACCGAGAAGTGACAGTGTGGTTGTGCAAGTGGAGTTGGGATGGCTCTACACCAGGGGTGTCAAACTCGCATCGTCACGGCATCGTCAGGTATCGCAGGTTTTTTTCCCCTTCGCTAAACCAGGCATGGGCATGGCCAGCGCATGACTCATCTGGCTCCTGGGCCATAAGTTTAACAGCCCTGCTCTACACTATGGTGACATCCCAAAAAACCCGAACTGCAAGCCCACCTCCATGGGATTTTTAATATTGGGGGAAGGGAGGAAAGAAAGCATACCTATTGTTAAGAAGAAAAAAAGACAGAATAACTAGTATGGTATAAGATAGCCAGTCTAATGCAGACACCCGTAGTTCTTGGGAACAAAGGCTGCAGAGGCTTCCCTTGAGCCTCTGGGAGGCCAAAAAGGGCCTCAAACGGGCCAAAAATCAGCTACGAGGCACGAACATGCACAGTGCAGGTAAATTTGGCTGGGGCTCGCGTGCCTGCACAAATGGCTCTGTGTGCCACCTGTGGCATGCATGCCATAGGTTCACCATCACAGACCTAGCAGAAGAGGGAACTTAAATGGAGAGCTACATGTTCTTTAGGGATTAGTTGAAATAAAAGAGGTGGACAGACATTGCCAATAGTTTTCTGCAGAGTGCAATAAAATGAGTGGGATAGGATTAGTTTGTCCTATGAACCTGGAGCGCAGAATTGGAATCAAGAGTCTTAAATGGAACTGTATTATTGAGTTAATGACACTGATTCTTGCCATAGAAATTCTGGGCCTGCTGCCCACAGTGCCATCTGTCAGCCTTAGTTTTCTAGTCTCTAAATAAGCAGACTAGTTATGATGACTCATTCGTTGAATCCGTACCCAGTTTCTGAAGGTCCAAAAGTAAAAGATGATAAATTAAGAGGAAATGTTCAAATGCATACATAAATATCGCCTAAAATCCAGCCAAAAACAAGCGCTGCCAGCTTATTCAGAAATGTCTGTGAACGGAAGAGGGGAATAGTAATGCCATCGCTCATCACTCTTAACTCATTCACAGGTTAAAAAAAAGGTTGGCCACAAATGTATGCTAGTCAACTGGATGCCCTCCAGATATGTCAAGATTATACTTCTCAGAATTTCCAGATAGCGATCATGTAAGATTGGAGCGTGTAATCACTGCACATCTTGAGGGCACCAATTTGAGAAAGGTCCCCCACATAAATCAAGGTACAGATGCTCTGATTCTAGAAGACATGGAAAACACGGAGAAGGAGAGCCTCAATTTTTACATCAACAGTATCCAAGGTGTGTTCTCAAGCCTCGGTTTTATCCCTCCAAATGCCAATTCATTCTAAATGACTGATTTCATAGAGTTTAAGAACTGGAATCCTCTCAGCTGTCCTCTACTCCATTCTCCTGCTCAAGACAGGGTCTGCTAAAGCATTTTGGATAGGTAGCTATCCGGTTTCAATTTGAAATCTTCTGGTGAAAGGAAACATGCCATTTCATGAGGCTATTTATTCCACTGGTTAAAAATAAAAACTCCTACTGTCAGGCAGTTCTTCTTAATATCTAACCTGAATCTCGTTCCCTGAGATTTTAACTCCTGGGTTCCAGTTCCTGCCCTCTGAGGAAACAGAGAATAAGTCCACTCCCGCTTCCCTATGATAACCCTGAAAATCTCCTAATAGTAGAATCTGATAGTGAAATCTTGATAGCTTCCCCCAATCAATTCCAGTTCAGTGATCCCATTTTTAGACTACGATGCCGAGTATTAGACATTCAATTCCAAGCAAGGCTCTTAAGACTCCGGCTGAGAAGAGGGAAATAATTATTCTACCTGACCTGGTCTCCATGCTCCTTTTTATATATCCAAAAATAACAATACCAGGGTATTAAAATCTTCCAGGAAAACCTCTCTGCATCCTACTATCAGGAGACAGTCATGCTAAAACATACAGGAGAGCCATCTCCAAATGGGAGTTCTGGGTTTTTGAACGAGCTCACCAGACCGATCCATTTGGCTTCAGTGTTGATTCTGACATTAAGCCAACTCTAAGTCTCTCCCAAACTCTTTGGATTTCATGGCCTTCAACTTTATAATGTCCACATGTCATCGCTCTCCACTTTGATGAAGACTGAATGGATTATAGATAATGACTGGTTTGATTTTTTTTTTAAGAAGTTTGTGCCAAGCTCAAATTTTACTGCTCTAGGATAGGCTGGAAATAATTCATTCACTCAATCAATAAACCAGAAGAATAGCCATTTTCTAAATCAGCTTTTATACTAGAATGCCTCATATATACTTTGGAATTAGAATGGTACTGATATCTGGAGTGGCAGGACAATGATTCCTTCCCCACCCTTTACCTCAACTTCTTATCTGCCAATCATTGCATAGTACATGGTGACTATGTTTGCATGTAACTTCAGACCTTCAGTAATTTCCAGCCCTAACCATTGCACCACCATGGCTCTTACCAAGAAATACATTGAGTTTCTTCTTAGTAGTTCCTTTACTGTATCATTTAATTTGTTTGTTTGTTTTATTTGTATCCTGCCTTTATTGTTTTTATAAATAACTCAAGCTGTTGAACATATGCACGATACCTCCCTCCTCCTATTTTCCTCACAATAACAACTGTGTGATAGAGTGGCCTGAAAGTGAGTGACTGGCCCAAAGCCATCCAGACAGCTTTCATGGTGAAGGCTGGACTACAGACAGAAATTTAGCCAAACTAAAGCAAGTACTTGCTTCAGTGAAGATACACTTTGAGAACTCCTATGGAGGAGATATCTTGATCCTCTGCCTCACAACTGAACTATCTTAACTTCGCTGTTTCTTGCTCCTCTGGAATGCAGCCCCTCCCTCCTGGGAATCCAGACTACATTCCACCACAATTTGTGACTTTCTAATTTCTTCTGACAAACTTCCAACAAGCAAAGTCAATGTGTCTTCCACAGCAAGCAAAAATTAATGGGTGAAACCAGATTTGCTTAATGACCCTATGATTTGCCAAGACAGTTCATTTAATAATTGTGGCCAAAAAAAGTTCATAAATTTATGACTCACTTAATGACCATATTGTTTAGCAATGGACATTCCAGTCCTAAATGTGGTCATAAAGTCAAGAATTACTTGCATAACCTAGTAATGAACCCATGGTGTGATGTTTAATCATACCAAGCTTTGGGCTCTCTTTCCCTCTTTACTCCAGAGCATGGCCAAGACCAGATTGGAAAGTCTCTTTTTAGAATAAGCCACAGATTAATAATGTACATAAACTAAACTCTCACTAACATTAACTATGTCTTTTTAAATCCTCTGCTTATGAAATTGGCTTAATACCCCATCTCTGAATATTCAGAGTTTATAGTTTGGAAAGTACATTCAGATGTGATTAATCTACAGTGGAAAATTCCAAGTTCTTTGCTATGCTTGCATCAGAGGAAATGCAGTGTGCAGCCCTAATATGTGCTGCAACATGCTCTCGCAATGCTAAACCATGATAGGAGAAACTGTGGTTATGGTCCAATTCTCATCAGCCCCACCCAACCGGCCCAGCTAATGGTGAAGGTAGAAGATGGGAGCCGATGTCCAAGAACTTCTGGAAGGCCACAAGTTGCTGAATTGGGGGAAGGGGACAAAATTTATTTTTTAACTGAAAACATAGGCAAAACATTTTCTCTTCCCAGTTAAAAAAAAGCCAAATATAAATTCCTTAAAAGCATATTCTTTAGGCTGAACATTAGTCCTCTGACTGTTTTGCAAAAAGGGAGCATAATGGCTGAGCTGCAAATCAGAGCAGAGGACACAAAATCCTTTAAAATATTCAGAGTATTTTTTCATCCAAACACCAAACACCACATAATATTTGGTTTAAATGCTGTTTACTAGCCAATCCCTTTATTGCTAGTCTCTAATTTCATTGGAAGAGTGCAATTTATACTGGAGCCCATCCAGAGATTCAACTGTAGGGGAGGACATGAAACCACAGGAAGCAACTAAACTTAAATCAAAGAACGGAAATGGCTTGGTTCAAATTTAGAGAGTACACATTGTTTTCTGGTGGAGTTGCCACTTCCTTGCAGTGACCTTTAGATTCTTTATTAATTATGTTTTTTTTTAAAAAAAGAGGCAAGCAACTCCAAGCATTCCTAGCAAAGACTGAAGAGAAGCTGTTGAAATCTGCAAGCTGAAAAAGAGAACCGGAGGGAAACATCAGTTCAGGGACAGAATGAGTAAACATGAGAAGTCATGGGGAGAGAAAGAGCAAGAACTCCAGTCCAATGAGACTTAAAAAAAAAATCCTTCATTTGAGCTACATCTTGATTTTCATCCCATTAAATCCAAACTCAGTTTCAATGCATGCTGTGAATCGGGCTTCTTCTCCCTTGCTTTGTGTAGATCAGGCATACTTATCAGCAACTCAAATGCCATTTCTAGCCTTTGGCCTTGCCTCTTTGCTGGAATGTTAGCTGGACTACTTTTTTTGGGGTGGGGGGGTGGGGGGGGTGTCCTTAAAAGCCAGAATGGTTGAAACCCTTGTTTGGCCCTTCAATAACACTTCCCCAGTTTAGAAAAAGAAACATGTATTTTTGACGAGCTGCACAAGTGGGTGGGTTTGTGATGTTGTAAACTCCAGCCAATCAGAGCACAGGATAGCCGATTTCTGCTGCAAACTGGCAGAACTGGTTTCTCCTCTGCTGGAACGCCGGAGAGGGAGTCCTATCCCAAGACACAGAATGGCAGGGCCTGCTTTTTTCAGGGACCCTGACCGGGAAGAACAGTCTGCTTTTAGGTTTGAGTTGAACCTGAGAATCTTCAGCTCGCTCCTCTACTCACTGAGGGGTGGAG